CTTTGCTGACACTCGCCGGCCCCACACCCACACCCACGCACCTCCCATACTCCTTATTTAATTTTCCACTTCCACCTTCCCTTGAAATTCATAACAAATCAAATCAAATAAAATCGCAATCCTCTTCGTTTGGAAATGGTAAAAAATGAGTGATAAGTGGAAGAGTAATGGATATGGGATTAGGACTTAGGAGAGTAGCTTATTTTAGATATTCGTTCGCCTTATCCACTGCCCGAACAAGGGATTGATATCATAACCCAGTCCACTGCACTCGACCTCACCTTCACTGCTCGATATCTGCCACGTGGTGACATGGCCGACATTTTAAACATCACCTTCCATTCAGGTAATTTAACGTACCCTTGATTGGGGTCCCCGTCCCCTACCTTCTCCTTTTATTTTTCTTTAATTAATATAATATTATTTTCGACCCGCACTGGCAAAATCTCCACCGTCCAGTCATCATCGTAAACTCTATCTTTTCACATTCGCCTGTACGCGGGATGTTTATTACTTTCTTAAGGAAATAAGGAAAAAAAAAAGAGATAAATGTGGCTTTAAATTTGGAAGGCTAATAGTATGCACGCGGTCTTGGCGACAATACAGCGGGCTAGATCGCTTCCTAAGGAGGGTTGAACTCCTTCGCATGCATGCAAAAACAACACACCATTATTATTTCACCCTTTCTCTGTTATTTTGGGCTAATTTTAGGTTATTTAGTAATTAGGAAACACCAAAACGAAGCCGTATTGGCGGGGGTATATATGCAAAACGCAACTGTAACGCATACTCAAAAAATTCGTCCTCCTACTCGTACAGCTGTATTGATCATTACCTTAAGCATCGTCGGCACGTGCCGTTTCTTCTTACACCTCACTCTATAATCAAAAGTCAAACTGACGGGAATTTTGAGAACTCCACTGCTTCCATTGTTTTCATTTTAACCGTAACAATTAAAGCCATTTTAGTTCCCACTTTTTTTTCCCATTACCGTACTTTTATTTATCTCTATCAAAAT